AAATTCCTAATTTAAAACACGGCAAGCAAATATTTGATTTTGGCCACCCATGTTAGCAGCTGGAAAACCAGAGGGTGGCCTTGGGATGTGTAGGCCTTAAATGTTTTTTTATGTTAAATATTTAATCAGGACCAAAGCGGTACGAATGAATATTCAATATGAATTAATTAGCCTTCAAATTTATTCAATATAAATGAGTATAATGAGTTTTAAAGCCTAACCAGCTTAACTTTAGATAACTAAGAAGCCACATAATAAAATATACTTCTAACTTTAAATTTGTCTAGATGTTCCAAACATTTTAATTAAGAGAAGCCACTAAAGTTTGCCATATATTTCCGACATTCATTTAACTCTAGCAACAGGCACATATAGACGGAGTTGGCATTGAATTAGCCATAAATTATTTTGGCCAGAATCACTGGCCAAATTGGCAGCAGACCAAATTGCAAATATGGACACCCGGGACGAATTAAAGCAGGAAATTACCATTTATACTGCATTATATACGCACCGTCAGGGAAATTTGTTGATGGCCATGATATGGTAGTAGTATTGAGCAATTTTCCACATGACGAATGCCTGTCTGGCTATTAATTCGGGCAATGGGATCGCTAATTGGCTAAACGAGTCAGATTCGGAGCGATGTTAATCACACAGACACACACGAGGCCCTCGAGCAAATCGTATGTTCACTGGGTTTCTGGCATTTATATCCCCCCCACACAGCCGTCATAAATAATTCAAATGTAATCCCAGACTCACACTTTTATTTTTACGAAGTTAATAAATTAAACCATTAAAAGCTCTGAAAATATGTAGGCGGGAAAATCCCTTCTCAGGATACTCGAGGGTATTGCTGCATTAGCTCGGTTAAAACTCGGCAATAATATACAACAAAAAATGTAGACAGTGGATGTCATAATATATGGGTTTTGATTTATGGCCTAGATTCCGATGCCACAATTTGCTGACTCTGCTTTAATGTGATATTTTGAGAGTTTATTTTGGCTAAAGAGAGATGAAAGCCAACAGCTTTGCTTAAAATGGGCTAAGGTCCTAAAAGCTTTTGCATTCATAAATTAGATTAAGTTGCCTGGCATCCTTTTTTTCTTTTTGGCTGCCTTCACAAGCAATTTTAATTAGTTAATTGCTATTTTTTAGGCACTTTCTGACTTAGGTTTAAGAGTTTTAAGAAAGACTTTTCCAGCCTTAAGTTAAATCAATTTCATTGCACTCAAATTTGAAAGCAGCAAACTCTGGCCAATCACTCAATCAGCAAGTTTGTTTTAGCCAAACAGTTCGCCCCCTTGGTTGGCCTTTCAATCAAAGTTTTTTGCCCCAGCGGTTTGTTCTTTGATGTGGCCAGAAGAGGAGCAAAAACATTGCCCAGAACGGCAAATTGTTTGTCACTCTACTGGCCTCATGTCGAAGTGCCTGTCACATCGATAGGCCAAAGGGGTTTAGATGTGATCCCCATAGAAGTTGATCCAAAAAAAACTTTGAGCTCTTCTCGGAGACCATTATCCAAGGCAAAAAATTTTCTTTAAACTGTATGACAAGTGAGTGATTTAAGACGGTTGTTACCCTAGATTATTTAAAGGAATTATGGAAAAATCTTGATCTAAATATGAAAATTGAAAATATTAAAGGTCCTTTGAAGTTAAAAAGTTAGCCATCTGCTCTAGTGTGAAGAAGGATTTATAGCTCCGTCTTAGAACTTTGTGCTGTCAACATTAGGGGAGTCGTAACAAATTTGTTTTTATTTTTCAACATTATACCTACCACGGACTTTATGGCAAATCAATATATACAGCAGTTTCCGCATCTAATATTTTATTTATTTCAAACCTTTCACACGAGCAGTCCAGGCCTCCTTCAACTTTGACTTGGTCTGGTGCTGCTCTCTCTCCGCTTTTTACGACTCCTTTTTTATTGCAAGCCATTACTTGAATATTCCAGTAGCCCGGTTAGTGCCAGCTCCGATTTCACTTCCCCAGAAATCGATGAAGGCACACGGAGAGCGACGTAGAGGCCTTTGTTTCAGCCAGACAAGGACATTTCTGAGCCAAAACTCTCCGGGCTCTGTTCGAGTTCAATGCTCGCCATTAACCAGCGCGCTGGCAGGCTGCGTGGCATTAATGCTTTTCAATTATTTTTATTGGCTTACCATAAATTATAACGCCCTTCTGGCCTAGGCTGCCATATTTTTCGAGCACTTACCGGCTTGACGTGTACTTTGCCAAATGACTTTAACTTGAATTGCCTCGTAAACTCGACGAAATTCCGTTGGCATTGACACCGACATATGTTCCTGGAATCGAGAGTAGAACTTTCCCTGCAGGAAGTTGGAAAAAGTTTCACTCATTTGATGAGTGAGAACTTTGGCCAAAGCAAAAGTCTTTTAAGTAATTCAACCATTTAGTTGTGACAAATTGAAAAATCTTTTGCTATTCATTACACTTTGGTACAATTAGTCGTTGCATTTCGAAACACTTTCGAAAGTTTCGTTTCGCCTTTGTGTGAATTTAATTATCGCACCGGGATCCTTTTTGGTTTCTGTTCAAGGACTGCAACTCCGCTTGCCAGTGCAATTTCCGTGCTAAATATTTGCACACAAAAGCAACAAAACTTTCCGCCAATTTCCTTTTTTTTTCTCTACAAGCTAAAGTTTTCCTTTCCTGTGGCAAGAACATTTTTAAAGTAAGTACTAAACCTGAACGTTGTATCCATTTTCATTATCGTATTCCTTGGCTGCCGGGTGCTTGAGTCTTCCCTGGACGCTTTTAATTTTTTTGTAGCGAACTTTACAACTCTTCACAGTTTCCGCTGCATTCTCCGAGTGCTTCAAGCTCTTTGGCAAATAAGCCTTGGATAAAATAAGAAAGGGGCAGATAGTTTAGAATGTGGCTAAAGTTTTTTAAGAACTAAGAAAGTTTACGGCAGCGGTTAAGCTTGGCCCATCGAGTTCATTTTTTCTTCGTGAATAAATATTTATGAAGTATTTTAAATTTGTACTATAGTTATATTTACATATTCTTCATCGATTAAATAAAGTAAAAGATACCTTTTAACACATAATCAATAAAGACCTTAGTCCCCTTGAGACTCTTTTGACTCGTCTGGCAGTCAGTGAAGCATGTGGAAAGTCAAATAAAATAAAATGCTTTGCTTCTGGGAAAAGGTGGCACAGTTGCAAGCAAACACGCAACAGACTGCAGATATATCTGCCCTGATTGCACAGTCCACGGAGCATGGTATCCTATGACCCATTTGGTATTCCGTCGCCTTCGCACGTCATAAGATTCCTAATTAAATCAACGCTGAAGGATGGGAAGAAAAACCCAATGAGCTGCTTTGCATTTTAAGCCAGACTGAAATGGAGCATCATTTTCCCCTTATCTTTAAGTCGCTCCACTTGAGTGACATCCGTTTTTCTTTCCCCTACAAAAGCGTAAGCTAAGAAAGAAAAGATAAAAACCATTTGTTGACTGAAAAGTTTCCCCCCCAGGAGAAAAGGTGAATTAAATGGGTCACTTTACTACCCAATACATTACTGACTTTCCAATTACCCGCACTGAATCGTAAAATACCAGCAATCAAAGCCCACTTTCGTGCACATTCCATTTTCATTATTTACCCCAGTGTTTTGCAAAGCAATTAGCACGAAAGCTGCACTGAACCGAGCGGGTAATTGGATTGTTTTTGTGGCTGCACCGTGAATTGCGAATCTAAGCCCAACAATGTCGCGCCATTGAACTATGTTTTGGTCATCGGCATCAGTGTAATTTGGATGCGGGATCCAAACATGACATCGACAGACATCAGCATAAATATTTTTCCTGAAATTACGTATACGCAATATATTACGTATACGCACCCACCTACATTCAATAATTCCAGCGAAGGTATTTAAGTAATGTCCGTAAGTCGATACAAAAGGCCATTCTGGTCTTCATATTGTGGCATCCCTTTGAATATTTTATTGAAGAATGCCAGCATAAAATCCTTTTGATTTAAAGGGTTTCCTATATTGCAGAAACAATTGAAGACTTTTAGAAAATGTAAGACCCTCAAGGGTTTGTTTTCGATTTAAATATTCTTTAAAGATGAAACTTAAGTCCAGTTTAAAGATATTAAAAGCAGCTCCCGTTTTTCGTTAACCTATTTTTAGTAGAACCCTTTAGCCTAGGATTTTAATATTTAATTAAACTTATTGCTCATTCGCTACGTGGCCGTGGGCCCCACATAAGAGCACTCATACGCACGCGGGCCAGACAAAGTGGGTTAATTTTATTGCCGGGTTAAGGAACCTCTAAAACGCAACGCCTTTGCCTCCGCTGCACAGGGGAAGCGGGGTCAGCAATTACCCGGCGAGCGGTCATTAAAAACAATCCTCAACGGGGCACGCAAAGCCTTTGGCATTACCATCTAACTCGGTCTCTTGTGAACACACAAAAATGCCTGTGCGTGACATTGTTTATTTTGGCTGCACCAGACGGCAACTTAAAGTTAGCTGCTGGCAAACAGCAGATATTTCAACATTCTGTCCAAGTCAAAATGTAGTTTTCCTAACGAAAAAACGTTACAAGAACGTAATGCTTGAAATACGTTAAAGACGCCATCTATGTACATATTTTATGTAAAAAAAAAGTGGCGCCGCCATTAACGTAATTTTGATATTTAAAGAGATTAATTTGAAGATTATTTAAAATATTAAGAGAGTATGGAAATATTTTATAAAAAAATAATATTAAAAAAAGTAAAATTCATACTTACTTTAAATTATTTTCCAAGAGTTTGGTAACCTTAGTGTGTTTTTCAAAAAGCTTTCAGTAGCCAAAAACAAAGTCTGGCTGCTAAGAAACAGATGCCCAGCTTTTGCCAGCTTTTAAAGAAGGCGCCTAGTTCGAATTTTAAGAAATATTTGTCTCTATTTTCATACAAAAATTAATTGAAATTATTTGTATTTAATTTATTTTGTTAAATATTAGTAAAACACTTCAGTACATTGAACACAAATTCATTTCTGTCACCAATCACAAGTAGAAAAATCGTTGAAAAAGTAACCCAACTTTCAAGCCGTAGAACAAACTATAACTAGCTTAACTTTATCACATGCAGACTTAGCCTAATGACTTGGGGCGACAGCTATACAATAAATAATAAGCTTAATGATAGATTTAGGGTGTCAGAGGAGTCGTCCTCATGCGCCACGCATCCTTGATCATATCCGATGCCTTTTCGGCAATCATTATCACAATGGCATTGGTGTGGCCAGCGGGAACATTAGGCATCACAGAGGCGTCCACAACGCGAAGACCCCGGATACCATGAACCCTTAGCTGGGAGTCCACCACCGAGGTAGGGTCCTCGGAGGGTCCCATCTTGCAGGTGCCTGACTGATGCTGCAAACTCGATCCATATCTGCGAAGGCAGCAACGCCAGTACCCCTCGCTGGCGAATTTCAAGTGCTCGCAGCCGGGAAAGGGACGAGCATGGAAGCGAGTGCCCATCTTGACCATTGGCTTGGATCGGGCCAACTGAAGAATCTGGTAAGGACATTTAAATAGTTATTAAGATTCCTGGAGGTATAATAAATTCTAAACAAATTTTCACCATTTCAATGCCCTCAATCATGGCCCTAACATCATCCGGATGCTGCATGAAATTGGGCTCCATTTTGGGCCAGTGGAAGGGATTTCGACTGCGTAGGGAAATGCGACCACGACTCTTGGGTCGCAGGAGCACTGGCACCAGGCCAAAGGTCTCTTTGTTCTGCAAATCCCCAAACATGGTGTCGTAGAACTCATCCGTTATGCCCAGCAGATTACGCATGGTGCCAAAGCGATCACCGCTCAGGGATCCAGCGCCCAAAACCAGCTCCATATCCGGATAGTCCTTGGCTGTGGGGGAATCTTTATTAGCAAACTATTTTCCAATTATTTCTTAATAATTTTCCTCACCAAAGCTCGAGCTAGGAGTCCGAACAAAGGCAAAGGCCTCGGCTCCTCCTGGAATAGTGTAGGGTCCTTGGCCAGCGAAGATGTACCGAAAGATGTCCGAGGGATTTAGCAGCCTAGCATCATTCACCGTTGAGTCGTTCACAACAAAGACCAGTCCATTGAGGGTTATGTGATCCTGTAGGTTGTGGCCCACCGGCAGATCCTGCACCACAGAGATATTATGCTCCCTTAGATGATCCGCTGGACCCACACCAGACAGCATCAGCAACTGCGGACTGGCAATGGTTCCAGCGGACAGAATCACCTCCTTTCTGGCCCGCACCACGAAACGCTGGCGCTGCTTTGTGAACTCCACTCCGGTGGCGGTTTTGGTGCGAGGATCAATGATCAGCTTGGTGACCCAGCTCTTCATGGAGACGTGCAGATTTTTCCTATGCGCCACCGGCTGGATGAAGGCCTTGCTGGTGCTGCAGCGCCTGCCATTCCTTATGGTGGCTTGGGATCTGGCGAAACCCATCAGATGCTCGCCATTGGGATCAGTAATATCGTAACCCATATCCCTGCCCGATTTCAAGAAGGCCTTCAGCAGCTGCGACCTGTAATCCGTGTACTGGACATCAAGGGGACCATTGCGACCATGATACGGCGACTTGTATAGCTCAGGGATACCAATCCTCTCGGATTTCCTGAAGTAAGGCAGCACCTCGTCATAGGACCAACCCGAATTATTGGCCGCCGCCCATTCATCATAGTCCCTGCGATGTCCTCGGGTGTATAGCATAAAGTTGATGAGACTAGTGCCACCAACTCCACGCCCTTTGGGCCAATTACACCTGCCTTCCTTCAGTCCCTGACAGGCGTTCGGTGTGGGTTCCGCCTTGTAGCCCCAGTTGTAGCGGGTCATCTGGGTGAGGGCGGCTGTCAGTGGCACATCGCTGATGAAGGTCTCCTGATCGCCAGCCTCCAGGAGCAGGACACTGGCCGAGGTAATCTCGCTCAGACGATTGGCCAGCACACAGCCACCACTGCCGGCGCCCACTATGATGAAGTCGTACTCGGGCAAGAAGCGAGTGGTGTCCGGAATGCGAGTCTTCAGCAGAGAGGTCTCAAAATCACGGGCCAAGTCCACTAGCAATTGGGAGCGGGTGAACTGCAGGAAGCTCAGGCAGAGAGCCAGCACTCCAAGGAGTCTCATTTTGCTCAGTTAGTCTGTGAAGGTGAGAAATATAAATTATTTATAAAACATGATCTAGTAATGACTACAAATTGATTTTTAGTATAAAGACAGAGTTCCTAATTAATAAGAATTTATTTTTTCGTTCCAGAAAAATTCCAGAAAAACAAATAAAGAACCCAGAACCAGAACACAATCTACGCCTTTAGGTGACTTTTGTTAATTTTCAGGTAAATATTTCAAGGGTAATCCAGAATTCTCAATTAACAGCTGCATGCGAATTGCAGCAACCTTGAAACCGATTTCACTTTCGCCACTTTTAAGTTCTAAAAGGTATATATTCACGCCCCAACGAGCTAAGATCGTCCCGAACGCGTTTTGAGCTCAAGTTCAGCAGGTTTTTGGGGTTACAAGACGGCCAGAAAATCGAAAGAGCCAATAAAAATAATGACTTTGCAAAAGGAGCGAAATAAAGTTAATGCTAGCTAACCGGTTCGTGATCAAAACAAAACCAAAATGAAGAAGAAACCAAATCAAAGCAAACATTGCAAAAATATAAAAAAAACCAAAATAAATCGATCGCAGAGACGCAGCAAATATTTAAGCGTTGACCCATAAACCGCACGCGGATGTCCATATCCCAACAACATCTGTAAGGCCAGCAAAAAATGCAAAAAGTATATATACATGAAAAAAAAATCGGAGTAAAATTACTTAAAATTGTGGGCGCCAAAATGTTTTCTTATGCAAATCGTTCAATTTGGGCCGACAAAAATTGCACAAATGTTAATAAATCATTTCAATTAACCCCAATTGAGTAGAGCACTTTTGCGGTTGAGTCAATACAGTAGCCGAGCTTGAAAACTGGTTCGACGATCCAACGGATACACCCTGGGTAACTAAGAGATACCATTTCTGAGGTTCTATCAGCCCATAGCCTTGGCCTTGCCGCTGGCCATACTCGATTGGCCACGTTACTGCGCTTACAGAACTACCATAGTGTATGCCGTAAGTCATGCTGGTTTCCCTCACGGTTCCGCCCTCCGAAGGGCGTTGCATTCATTAAAGTTCTGGTTATCGACTCGATTTCACTCAATGCGGGTCATTAAACCGGGCTTAATTGGCTGCGACGTGCGGCTTGAAGATCTCGATTACAATGGCATCAAGTTGGCCAAATGCGCTACCCCAGTCTTAATTGTGTCCATGTCCAATGCTGTGACTGGCCCATTAACAGGGCTTATAGCCGAGAGGTTGAAGTGCTTACAAGAAATATCTTTGAGAAAATCACCAGGCCCATAAACGTGATAACTTCATTTTATGGCATTTTGAAGTTGGAAGATATAGATCACTTAAAAGAGGAATATGTATATAACATTTTGAAATGTATAAGCTTTATAATTACTGAAAAATTAATATATTTTTATTAAGATAAGTTGGAAAGAATATAAGATCAATTTTCACATTTATATTTATCAAATTCAAAGCAATAAAATATTTTTGAAAACGTACAAGAAAGGTAATTATAAACATCTAATTTGGAGACCTAGTTCTACCTTTTTTGATGCATACATTTTCCATATACATTTACTTTTAGTCAAGCGTTTTTCTACTGTTTCGAGTTTATTCAAATTTTTTATATACACAAAAGAACATCTAATTAAAAATATCATAACATTTCCATTTTCACTAAACGAGTTTTAAATAAACATAGAACGTAAACACTTTGTATTAAAGTACATCCTATTTAAAAAATATTTACATAAATAAATAAATAAAAATACGTTATTATTACTCATAAATTCACAAACTAAGTAGCTTCAAATATCTTAACAAAGTAATTAAATTCAAACAGTGTTTAAGTAGTTCAACTTTGGGGCACAGCACTTGATGAATTTCATTAGCCAAACGCCTTAACTGAATATGTTTTTTGGCTGTCAACTAGTTCTTAAAAAGAGCAATTTACTGCAAATAGTTAACGTCATGTGACCAGATTTGAGCACACACACACAAAAATACACACACACACACACTGGACTGCAAATGGTCGTAAATCCTCTTGTGAAATTCTAAACACGTTTGCCGATAGAATGCACTTACGAAATGCTCTGAATAAAAATTTCTGCTCGTAATCACTTGGGAGATACTCCTTAAAATGTTTGGTTTTTATTGTATTATTATTTTTATTTTATTTTTGTATTATTCAATTTTATTTATTAACTTTAAACTAGATCCGCGCATGCGCGCCCGCTGATGTCCGGCGCTTAAATGAATCGTCGCTGGCCGGCTTGCAACGTTGAAGCCTAGGCAAGCTACACACAAAGCCGTAGTGAAAAAAGCCACAGTCAAAAAAGGCAGGTAACAACCACAACTACAACGAAAAGGTATCAACACAGGTAGCTGCCGGGCTACGTTCCAACGAACACGAATCAGTTGCCGAGTCCACAAGATATTTCTCGCGCAGTGGACCATCTTTTTCAAGTTCATCGGGTGAACTTGCAAATTTTTATTTGCCGATCGCCATCAGCGTTTTATTTTTTTCGGATTTTTATGGGCTATTTTTGGGGAATTTGCTGCATATGATGATTAGCATTAGCACCCCTCCTCGTTCGTTGTAATCAAATCGGATTGGAGACTCCGATGATCATCGATTTGTCGCTGACTTATTAGCGCCGAGGTGCGAACGCGCTCAAGTGGGTTAAATTAAAGTGCTTCCGCTGTTTGCCGCGATGTCCGATTTAATGGGACTACAATGGATCAAGTCATTGGACTTCTGGCTGAAGTTCAATGTCAGCCGAGGCCTCCGAGTGACGCTTTTCCGGATTCACAGATGACCTTCATCACCCAGCCAGATCGTTTGGGTTACACGAGCACCGAAGAGATCATTAAGATGGCATTCAGCGGATTACAAATGGCTGGGTGACCCGGCTCATTTGCATACGAACGACGTCCGTCCGAAATCGTTTCATTAACAGATTTCGGCTCTAGCTGCTCGCCCGATTTCGCGGATACTTTCACAACCAACTCTATATCTATATCTCTCTAGTTTTTGGCAATTTCGGTGAATCGCTCACCGACTGAGCTGACCTTGAGTACGAGTCGTGTATATCGTCTATCTTTTTATAGATACAATCCAAACAAATAGGTTTGAATGCATTTTTCAGTGGTCTATTTGCCCAGCTCTTTTATGCATATTCACTTTGCGAGTGACTCGGCAACTATTAAATGCGAGTGAGTGAGTGAGTGAGTAGTATCTTGGCAATTTTGTTTCTATGTGCCATAAAGTGCTTGGGCCCACTTAATTCGAGAGCTGATAATTTATTAAAGATCAAAGGCCGAAGACAATGCGGCTGGCTAATTAAATTTTAACTGCCGAACAAAAAGTCCAAAAAATGGATAATCGCGGTGGTTTTCCCCGAAGTGATAGTGCCGCCCAGAGCATAAAATGAGACTGCAAAAATATAGTATATTTTGTAATACATAAAGGTAATATTTTAAAATATTTTTGTATAGCAAAATATATACATTTCCTAACTCAAAAATACCTACAAAAATAATTGTGGCCTTAGAATTTTTACTAATATTTCAAGTACACTTTTAATTAACAATCTTTCAAGCTAAAATTTCCATCAAGTCTTCATTTTAAGTCGTATTTAACTCTATATGACCCTGAATCCTTATTTTAATTAGCACAGTCTAATGCATAAATTGTTTGCCAAATGCATTGCAATTTACATACTCGTTATTACACATTAGCTTAGCTCTCAAGTGGCTGGCAATGTCACTATGGAGTGCGAAAATTAGCCCAAACAAACAGACGATGCAAGTGCAGCGTATTCATAGCTTGCGGCATTGGTGTCAGTGCGAATTGTTATTTATAGGCCACTCCAGCTGACTCACCTCTAATTTATTTTACAAACCTTAATCGCATGGACAAACAATCCCCGCAACGACCTTGCCAAGGTAACCAGCTCGGCGATCCGAATTTTACACAACACACAACAGATTTTGTTAGCGATTTAACGGTTGGCAGGCAGCCACAAAACACCGAGGAGATGGCAAAACGGCGGCTGTCCAGACGGATATCAAATAATACAAATTACTAAATACAAATCCAAATCACGGCATCAAAATACACAACACAAATCAAGTTCAGGCCGCAACAGTTTCTGCACCGTTTGCCGGGTAATAAAACCTCTTCAGTGTCAAGTGGGCCGGGTCTTTCTCGAGTGCATGAATCCCCCGCAAGCATAACTGACTGGGCGCCCATAAATCACGTGTCTCGAACAGATGAAGACGTGACCGGAGTGCGTAAAAAAGCTCAATAAAACAATATAATGCCTGTAAACTAACAATAATAATAGCCGCACAAAGCCATAAGCGCCGCTCGGGGATTGACCAACGTCAAAAAGCGTTTCGGTAAAATTATGATTACGAATAATACGGCCCGAGATCTGGAATTGAGTGTCAAGTGTGTGGCCAAAAAACAAGTAATACTTGGCAAGACGTGCTGACAAGGGTGTGGGCACCATCGTCATAATCACAATCCAACTGCTGAATGGCACTCAAAAGGTCTTAGCAGGGCTAAGGAGGCCGGTCTTAATTGAATGAACTTGAAACAATTGCTGAATAATTTGCTGCGTATCGTGCGGAGATGCATTACAGCCCATCTAACAATAAGGGGGTGTTCTGGAAATCTTTTAAAAGGTTTTTACAATTGTTTTAAAGAGATTAAATAAATAAACTTTAAAGAAGCAACGAAATAAACACTCCATTAATCAATATATTTCTGCTCTATTATTTCAATTCTATTCTCCTTTCTGTAAATATTTTATTATATTTAACAATTTAACCAATTTCCGAGCATTTTTCGGAACATCCTCGGCTCTTCGTGACTGTCTCGATGACAGACTCCATGTCAGATCTGTCTGTCTGTACAGACCGAGACGGTCTTTGAACGCATTGATTGGGTGTTATTGACACGACCAAAGTACTCACTTAGCCATGACTTGTTTGCCTTATTCGGATGGCGTGTCATTTTATATCTAGAGGGGAAGTAAGTAAGCTTCAAAAATGTTTAATTTTGTAACTAATTTTATTGATGAAATCATTTGTTGCGAGTTCTTGATGTTGTTTTTTGATATCCTTCTAAGTTAGGTTACATGGAAAATGTCAATTAAGTTGAGTTGGACTAAAGGTAGTATAAGAATTGGAAAGATTTGCTTTTCGTTAGTTTTCAATTTGGTTTTGCTTTGATTTGCGTTGCTTAGCATTTTGATAGTTGTTTCCATTTACCTAAGCATACACATATCTAGTATATATTGAGGGAAATCGGTTAATTAGCTAATACCGACGTTCAATTACGTATAGTGGTTTCCTTATCGTTTTATTTCTGTATTTTAACCAATTGCTTTGCATATCAATCAAGTTTCACTAGAACTATTTGTTTGTAAAAAGCGAAAGCGTCGTAGGATTTCATTGATTATGCCTGGTTGTTTTTCTAGATATATTTATACATGTATTGTAATAGTTTAATATATAGTATAAATTAATTTTCTTGAGTGTAAAAACTGTAAAACATAAAATGTACTTAGCGACTACAGATAAAGATACACTTTTGGACTTTTTTGGGATTTTTATAAATATAGTTTTATGGTTGTAAATGTTAGCATAGCGATTTTTGTTTATTTTGTATATTTAAATTGTTAAACTTTGATGCATTTTCTTTTTTAATAAAGTTAATCAGTACGAATTGCTCAAAACAAAGGGCCCAGATGTATGTTTTTTTTTATAGTTTCTAGACGTGTTGAAGTGCTAAATAATATATTTTTTAATAATATTTTTTTTAAAGAAGAAACCTATCTTCTTTAAGTAATTTGAAATACCTAACAAAATCATATGTAAAATAAAAATATGATGAGGTTATGAATTTTGAATGATTTTAAATTATGGGAATAATAATATTCCCCTTCATCATATCACTTTTGCTGTTGTTTTTATATAGAATTTAAAATTATTATTAATTTATATTAATAATTAATTTAATAGATAACATTTGCAGGTGTACAATATGTATAAACCTATATACACCCCACACATTATACATTTTACATTAGCAGCCCACAAGTAGGCAACATATTTCTTTTGGAACCTTAAAATGTTGCTAAAACATGTTGCCATGTTGCGCTGTGTTGGCAAACCAAAAAATAAAATAAATTAAAGGTTTTTGGTTATCTAATAAGTTTAAATATGGAATTGCAATAGTTTTAACACTCCAACACGTCCAGAAAATGGCCTAAATTGTTTCGGTTTCTCTTTTTTTCGCCCTCCTAGTGGCGCAGCAGTACATTGCTGACTTTAGCCTCCGCCTTGGGTGCAATCTTCTCGCGGAATTGACGGTTCTCCGGATTGGCCAACACGGAGGCAATGAACTCCGAGGTCTCCAGCTGCAGCTGGGTCAGCCGCTTCTGGAGAAGCTTGTTGCGTTGCACCAGCTTGATGGTCTTGATGGCAATGGACAGCAGACCGTCGCTATTGTGGTGATGATAGTGCTGCTGCAGGTGGAGCCCCTTGACCGGCTCCTGGCTGTACCCATAGCCACTGTCACCGCCATCATCGTCCTCCTCTTCGGTGGGCACCTCCTCGCATAGCTTCACTGCCGCTGCCGCCGATCTGTTGTGTTTGCTGCTGAAGGAGTTTGGCTGTAATACTGTCTTGATGTTGCTGTCGCTGCTGGAATGTTGCTGCTGCTGCTGCTGCTGATGGTACTGGATCCTGGCGGCCGAGTAGCTATCCTCGTCCAGATGCATCCGGTGCACCGAGGAGTCCATCTCCACCTCTGTCTCCACCCCGCTGCTGGTGTCCGTTGAGGAGGAGGCCGCCTGGCGGGCGGAGAAGTGTGGCAGTCTTCGTTGCAGTCTCATCGGGCGACGGCGACTCGAGGGGTTCATCGAACCTTTGGCCACTGCAAAGAACAATGGAAGGTATTTAGTAGGGCAAATGTAGATCTTAAAGAGGTTACAGTGGGTTAAAACTGAAGAATATTGAGTTAAAATTTTTTTTTTATTTATTGATTAAAAAAAACGTATTTTCTTTAAAAAAAACAAAAGTGACAGCTAAGCATTTTGCAGTGCCCAAAGTGCAAGTGCTAATTACTTGGTTGTCAATGGATTTCTCAGTCTATGACCATGCCGTTACGTTTTAATTTATACATATATACATATATATATAGAGTCTTATTGGAATCGCGTGTGGGCCCAAAACGTGACCGGCACCACGGCCAATCGTTTAGGTGTTGACTACGCGTTTCGCATCAATTCGCAGTCCCAACACTTTTGTAACGCTCATTTGCAACTATCAGCTGGTGGATGTCACGACAATGAGGCCACACTTTACAAAAATTATATTTAAATTGAATCAAATAGGGTTATTAATTTTTAAAAGAAAACATTTGAAGGTGATTTTCGATTTTAAAAATATTTTAGATCCTTCAATAGAGTAGGCGCTTATCTATCAGCATAAATTAATACAATTTGTTTGTACTTTCTAATTAAATCCATTATAAAGAATGTAAATATAATTTAGATGAGCTTAAATCGCTTTCTAATGAATTGTATAGTGTTAAATATCTCAGTTTCTTATACTTAAAAATACATTACAAATAATAGAAAAGTAAAACTATGGAAAAACTTACTGTACTTTTACTTTTGTCCCAGTGCACAGGCACACTATCTACAATTTCCCTACACACACACACACACCAGTGCATTGAGCAAATACTATTTTCCAATCGCTGTTTTCAGCAACTGTGTCTATGGTCAGGGTCATGACGCCTTACCGCTGCACATGGCAGTGCACAACCCTGGCTCCCTCGTAGCGGTACGGAACTGATTGCGCCAACAGCAGGGCCAGCAGAGCCCAGTGCAGTGCAACGTGAGAGTGCAACTCAGGGGACAAGGGCATTACGTATACGCAGCCTTACCCATTAGATAACACCTTTTGCTGGCGCCTATTGAGAATGTATTATAGAACATATGGAAAATGACTTCGGTTTATTTTAATACACGTCGTATGGGATAGATGTAGATACTTTTCCATTAAGCCCTTGTTATGGCTGCCTTAGAATATTAAGTATACGCCCTGTTGAACATTCAGCTAAAACCCGGAAGTTTCCCCGCCTCGATGCCTTGCCATAAATACATCTAATTGCTTACATTGTTATATTTAATGTCAGTTATTCTATGAATGTATATTTTTACAGCTTTCTTTTAACTGCCAGTCGAAGGCACATGTACCTGTCATACATAGTTGTTGTTATGGCTTTAACTTGCAGTTTCCAGAAGGTAGACAAAAACTTTAAATAAATACGTAAATAAAGTGGTTACGTAAATCTAAAAATAAAAATGCTTTGCTCAAAAAAAAATATTAATAAACTAAATATTTTACAAGTTATATTACAATATATTCCTGTTATAACTTTAAAAATTAATGTTTCTTTCTCGGCATATTTCTGCTTCCTTTAAAAATGTATCGCTTTTTTTTTTGCTGCTACTTATTGAGCTGGTTTCGGCCTCGTCATTGATGGAGATGGTGAGTAATGGAGTGAGTGGGACTGCACGTGCCTCGTTCCGTTCCCGGTGAATTAGTCACCGGTGAAGCTTGAAAATAAAATTTTAAATGCCTAAAAAATACAAGCCAGAGGGCGAGGGCATTGGCCAACATTCCAGCCCCCTGAGAAAGCTGTCGCCGGAGGAAAATGGAAAAGGGGCAGAGGTGGGGGCTAGGGGGAGGTGAAATCGCAAGGGGCTCGCACGTGGCCTCGTCACACCCATTTTTGATTTAGATGTGTGTCGGTGTATTTCTTTAGGTTTATTTTTATGTGTTGCTGGAAATTAGCAGGCAACAACGAGCACAAATAAAATGGCAACAACACCAGCAACAGCAGCAGCAGTGCTTTCAATGAATTCACATTGAATATGGCACCAATAAACTCGGCAGCAGAAGCAAAAGGAAAAAAAAAAAGAGCAAAGTTGGCTAAAAGCAAGCGGAGCAAATGTGCAAAACATGTAAATAAACCCAGCAAAAGTGGCACAGCAGCAACAAAAACGTGCGGAGGTTATGCCACACACACTTATGTAGGGTTCCTCTCCTCTTCCTCCCTCCGCTCACCGTTTTTGGTTTCGTTAAATTGTGAAATATATTTCTTGGAAAAAATCTAGGTAAATATTCGAACAATAACACTTGGCTAATGAGTAATAAGTGAACATCATCCGATGGGGCTGGGTTTGGCCGTATATGAGAGGGAAAGAAGAGCTTAAAGAACTAAAGACTTTCTCGATTACTCATAACTAAACAATTAACTTAATTTAACTTAATTTCAAACCTTTTAAATACTAATTGAATATATTCCAAGACTTTCACTTATTTTATTTCTTTTCTTAATGTTTTTTCATTACGAAAGAGAATCTTAACCCTTACTTAGTTCGTTTCCAAACCCATTTGCTTGTCTTACCTAATTATTTATATAAATTGAAATATTTATTCTAGCTAGAAGCACTAAATCTGTTAAAATTAAAGTATTGAGAAATTTAACTATATATCTTAGTGGTTTCTATTAATTTCCTAGCATTTTGAATAAGTTCTCCTACTTAAAAAGTAATAAACATTAATTATTATTAGTTTCTTAATAAACTCTCTTCCTTGAGCAAGCTCATTCGTCACTCAGAATATATCCATTTCCTTTTCGTTGCCAGTCATGCGGCATTAGATCGCTTATATAAACGTGTCAGCCAGATTTGCCACTCGAGTCTGTCTTACCTAACAGCAACAACGCAGGCGGAAGAGCAGCTGGAGCCAATTGCTGACGCAAATTGTTGAGTTCTTGTGGCATAACCCCAAACTCGCGTGCCCTCAATGCAGCAGCGACATCAGCAGCTGTATAGCACCAAGGCGGCAGCATGGAGGCCAACACGTGAAAATCCCAATGCGACCCATCGCACAAGGCACGTGCATGCGAGCTCTCTATCGTACAGCTGTGGTCGCAATAGTAATACCCAAGAGGGACTTTGATAAATATAAAAATAGCTAACTTTATCTTGAATGTAAGTACAATTTTACACTACAATTTTCTTGGTAAATTTGATTAGAAACATTTAATAAGAGGCTTTTTAAGCACAGAAACAATAATTATAGAAAACAACATCTGTAGGTCTGAGACCTATTGCTGTGACCACAATTATAAAAGACAATGAGGAAGTGAGAAATGAGAACCGAGCTCAGAACAGTCACAGCACTCACAACCCAGAGATACTGGCCGGAGGTGGGTGGCCCAGTTTACATAAATTAATTAAACATGACCGAGTAACGTGAGCACAACAGTCGCATCAGCAAATCAGCAGGGGATTTTGACAATGAAGGGTAGCAAAAATAAAATAAATAAAAAAACAAAAAAAAAGACAAAAGCGTAGATTGCAATGAATGTATAAGGCAATGTTACGTATACGCCTCGTGCGCCCACCACAAGCTCGACAGCAGTCGTCAAGCCTGAGGGCACTGAGCAAAGGGACCTTACACAATATGTTGCTTAAATAAATTTAAAAAAAATGTTTATAAATATATATCCATTCTATATATTATATTGTATATATTCATACTTCTTTTATATCAAATTAAACTAAACTAAATAATTCTTAAAGATGTAGCTTTTTCTCTATCTGTTCTTAACTACGCCTTCTTAACCGGCTGTTTACTCACCATAGGCAAGCACCGAGCTGACTTGTGTGGCAGCAGCTGCAGATGTCGAGGCTGAGGATGAGGACGATGATGACGAGGATGCGGTGGTTGCGGCGGCGGATGATGTGGTGACTGTGGCCACGCCATGATGTCGCCGCGTCTCTCGCAGCTGCTTCTTATCCGAACATATGGTGGGTGTCATCTTTTCAGGGAGCCTTCTTTCTATTCCTTTCTCTGGCAGCAAAAAGTTAGCACTGCAAAGAAAATGCAAATACAGGCAAGGAATTAATTAGCCGCCGCCGTCAAATTGATTAATTGATTAAACGGCCTGCGTGCCTTAATAACCCCACGAACTGCACGCGCCGGACAGTAATCAAAATAAAATTAAATCATAAAATTCGTACGAGTTCGTTTAACTTTGGTATTGTTTGGTTTTTTGTTCGCCAGTTGCAGTGATTCTCTTGCAGAATTCAGAGCACATTTCAACAGAGGATATGGCGGGTCGTAAATTGTGTTTATTTTGGTGGCGATAAGAACACTCAGCGGAAGTTGGCTAACATTGTATTATTCGCTTTATAAATTCTAGAGATATGGAGGGTAGAGTTATGTAGGAAATCAGCTGCCAGTGACGTAGTTATAATCAAAGAATTGTACAATCACACTTTTCTTTTGAACATTAAGTGAATTAAATTAAAATTTCTTTAGAATCACTGGGTTTTTCTTATCCTCTTAAGAAGATTTACCAATCAAGCCTCGTTCACTTCTGGAAAACCAAACCGAGCCGGATCACAGCCTCTAATCCATTATAACTACATAAATCACTCGTGGCAAACAATCAGCGCTTGGCCAGCGATAGTCCAAAGTTCAGAGTCCCAAGTCCAATCTCGGGTTGACATTTCAAAGCGGCATCGTGAGCGTGGGACTTGGCACCGAAACGAAACTCAAGATGACGCACCGTAGCCCCGGACCCAAGCTCATTAAGCGTGCTCCAAATCCTGGCTAACGACCATCGGCCAAAGGTAAACAAACTTAAAGTGACTGGCGGGAATGGGCTTCCCGGGGTTGGACAGAATATTGATGGGAAAGCATTTTGGCGGGCACGCGAAATTTCTAAAATGTTCATCAGAGGAGGAGGAGCACGAGAAGCAGGAGGAGCTGGGGAGCTCAGGGGATGAGTCCCGCCTGACGGCAGTTAAATTCAAATTGAAAAACGCCCAAACAGACGAAGAGCAAGGAGAGGCTGTTGACGGCACGTGTATCTCTTGAGTGTAATTACATTTGGTAAAAGCGCTCGCGACGATGATGAAATGTTTGCGGCCCTTGACGGCATTTTACCAACCTGTCCCCCGTTACCAGTTTTTAGACCTCCAACCCTGTACCCTCTAGCTGCTACCCGCAATATTTAAAATACTTGTGGGCGGTTAAGAAGATTGCCAGCCCCGACCGCCATCACGTCCCTTACTTTCAGGTCGATGTCAATGCGCCAATATTGCGCTGAAATTACATTTCATTATTTATGCCTTATAGTTAAAGACTCCAAGCCTGATCCGAAACGAGGCGGGCAATAGTACACAGAGAAAATATTTATTAAAAATAAATACATACTTTAGAAAAACTTAATCTTAGACTAGAACTCACAACCCTTATGTGCACATTTTAAGTAGTTCCCTAATTTAATCTTGTAAAAATAAGTTTACTTCCCTATTTCGTACTATAAAAAGGGATACAATAAATTGTTTCACGTGTAATTGTCCCAACCGCTTGTCCCTTAAGCGGAGACTGGGAAATGTCTGTAACAAAAGACCGAAATGTGCGTAACAAATACTAAGCCTCAACGAATTGCCCCAGTGGCAAATTTAATGCGGCGCGTGCGGGCCTAAAGCGAATAGGGTCGGTCGGTGAACCAGAGGATAAGGAAATGTCCTGTGAGGGGTGAAGGGGACCTCTTCCTAGAGGAGAAAAGCCAAGACATCGGGAAGTGTACAACACTCAAAGCATAGAGCAGACTTAAGGCTCAAATGGGGGACGACGGTGGAGCAACAATTTGAGACACGTTTCTCGCTCCGCACAAACACCTGTAGATCTGACCCCCCGATGCCGCTGCTGTTGCCACCGGTCGGAGGTCAAGTCAATCAATCCCCTGTGATGAGATTTCCCGCTGCGTGCCTACAAATTAGCCAATAATTGTTCAACATGACACGCCACAAAAAAAAACACGACAACAGAGAGTAAAACAAAACACACGCAATGTTGTCGGCTGTCAAAAGCGAGAAGTAAGACAAAGCAGAAACTAAGGCGAAACAAAGGAATCTGCTTATGCCAATGACTTTTCACACGCCACCGGAACGGAAGGGAAATTTGATTTTCTCTTCTTTTCTTCGTGTTTTCGGTTTTTTTTTCTTTCGTTTTTGGCAAATTGTTGGGGCAGACAATTGTGACCGGCGGCCACATCACAAAGACAAAATATTGTCAACAAGAAATATGAGTTCAAGGAACTCAATCTCGTTCTTTATTATTTGCAGAAACGTACATATAATATTTTGAAGTTTATTTGTCATGTGTAATGCTAAACGCCGCGGGCACTACAATACCTCGCTTTGTTCCCTAACATGAGCTAAGGCACTCCCTCAGACAGCACAGCAGACATGTGTACACGGAGAAAAACGTTCGAGTTGAAGTTGAAAAAATTCATCACATATAATTTCTTAGATTTTATAAGACTTTCCACACATTTAGACATCTTTATGAATATTTTAAGTGAAATATATCTCAATTTACAAAATACTTAATATAAATAAGCAACAATTTCCTCCTGTGCATATGAGCATTCATGTATGTCTGGCTATAGCCGTCGTGTCTGGCCTTTCTGAGTGTGCTCGGAAAACGTTTTAAATTGCACTGGGGTCTCGTTTTTCTAAATGTTGGCTTCCATCATCTGTCGCCTGCTGCTGCATAAGCCGAAAGTGGTCTTGAAATATTCATAACCCCAATGATTCTGGCTATTAATTATATGAAAAGTGCTCGAAGCAACTTAGCCAGAAGTCTGTGAGTCGCTGGCGTCGTCCTTCAGGGCGTATACTTAATATTGTCAGTTTAGTGGCTCGTATTAAATTTTCCTTTTCCTTTTTAATTAACGTCACGCCCCTGGCCTTGCCTTCGACTTCGTGTAATCTCTAATGGACATTCCATTCATTTCTCAACCTTATCTAACAACTATACACGCGCCGCAAAATTTTTAAAGACGCCGCCGCTGGCAAACAGAAATCCCATCTCTCTATAGTCAACAAATAAAACTTTCCGCTGCATGTGTATTTTTATGACTATTTCTTAGATTTATTGTTTACATGGGTCTGTGTTTGCTTGCGATTTGCGTTTTTGTTTAGGCAATACTCTATAGGTTTGGGAAAAGGGCATATGGAGGAATTAATAAGGTTTATACAGGAGATTTGCAAGCATTTCTTAATTTTGTAAGTATTTAAAGTGCTTAAAATATTTATAAAGCTTATTTATTCTATATTTAGTTGTATAATTAATATTAATATTAAAAATAAAAATATATTTAATGACAAATCTACTTACATTTTTTATTTACTTGTTTCAATCTCAACCATTGAGGTGCTAAATGCACTTTAAAATCTCCCAATATTTCTGCTTTAAATTCATTAAAAATCCAAGACTTTAATGCTGTCACTTTCCAGGGCATATTGTATTCGTTAATTGAATTTATATTCCATTACTTGTTTGCGCTTAGTGCAAAACTGCTCATGTTGCCCCATGGGCAAGCCATTCTACCACAAAGTCAAAGTGCTAATTTTCCTTCTTATCTCAGCACATGCGCCTGGAAGTCAGGCAGCAACAGCAAAATACAAGTAAAAGATAGCAACAAAAAATATCAGGTAAGACCTAATGAAACAGGGCAACAACAACTAAAATAGGCAATCAACATGCGTCATAATTGTATTTAGATACGCTTGGGTCTGGGTAGAGGAAACGTGTCAAAAGTGGGCTTGCCATCTGTGACAGCTTTTTTCCTTCGACTTTTTTGCAGTGTTTTTTCCACCACACACTTGCTAAGAGCGGTCTAGACAAGGTCCAGAGATTAGCATTAGCATGTCCAATAGATCAGATCGAGACAGAACTGCCAATGATGGCGATGAAATTTCGGTTGTCTAATTGAAGCCGCCGAAAGGCCATAAGAGTTTACGATGGCAGGCGAGGAAAGCAAATAAAAGCCGAAAACATTAAATGAGACACACGTGTGCCAAATTATGACTTCTCGATAAGAGGAATTCAATAACAACCAAGAAATGACAGAGATAAAACAACGACCCGGAACAGCAAAAAAAAAACACCACACACTTAAGAGGCAGAGGCAGACCATTGTTGGGGATTTTATTAGCCATCGAGCAGAGATTTCAGCTCAAGACAAGCTAGCCAATAATCCTCACTTAATCTTTAGCTAGTCTATCTGTTTTCTTCTTTATATTATACAAAAAAAAAGTATGAAATTGTAACAAACACACTCACCGAGCGTTGTCCACCTCAACACGCTCTGTCTACTTTTTCTGCTCGGCAGGCTCAGGGAAAATGGGCGTGGGTTTTGTGTTGACATGAACAATGGTGCTACATAACTAATATTGTAGACAGAGATACTCTAGCTGGGGATATGGTAAATAATATGAATCAGACGAAGGAAGTGTACCTATTGAAGATGAGGCTCCGATGTTATTGGCCTCAATCTAAACCCTCCCAACCTGTGAAGTCCATTCAGGCTCCACCCTTATACAACCAATGCTCTACATCCCCTTAGGTGCCCAACAAGATATCAAATTAGTTCATTTTCAAAGTCATATAATTGCAGGCTGAGATAATATTGAAAGACATTTTCCTAAATCTAATCCTTAAGCCTAAGTTTACGTTATTTACGTTACGAGACCTCTTATTGAGTCAGTTTGTTTTAGATCCAATGAAAGGAAATAAAATTTAAGATAAGAAAGAACGCTTTTTCCTTTTTTACTTTACATTAAATAGATTAACTTATTAATATTCTTTTGAATCAATTAATTAATTAAGATGTGCAAACTATTTCAGAAGTCTTGGCGAAATTATAAGGATGGGTTCAGTTTTATTTTGTTGTTTTGCGGCTAGGCCGTACTCACGCTTTCTCCATCGACGTCAGCAGGCCTGATGACTGGTGATGTGTAGCTGTATGTGTTTTAAGTTATTTGAGGGACAAAACGATATTATAATTGCCAAATCTCCCAAAAAAAATTGCTAAATTACGACCGAAAAGGTTTATAAGTACGAATTCTTAAATCAAAAGCTCCTATATGCAAAATTAATTATATTTTAGACACTATCATTCATGTTTATCCGCTCCTGGAGCAGAGTGTGGGCCGGATCAGCCACCAGCTCTCAATACGGATATGTAATGCTACTTCCGTCGTTCGCGCTGATGAAGATGACACGCACTATGTGCGACAGGGATGGCCGCAATCCCTTGCGTGAGGCGTGAGCGGAACGAGACCAGCCCGCCAAGGTGTGGATGCGGCAGAGCGCACGCGATGTGGCAAAGATGCACGGCGATGTGGCAAAGAACGATGTGGCCACGAAAAAGACACACGGCGATCCAATAGGTGCGCCGAAGAAAAGCACGGTGATCCAATATGTGCACCGTGTGAGGGAACGGCGATCCAATATGCGCGCCGTGTGAGGGAACGGTGACACGTTAGCGAGGCGGTAAAGAAAATCCAAATCGAGGATCACCGCAATCGGCACGTGTATGGCCGCCGAAATGGGAAGCGCAGCCCCACGCTGTGCGTGCGAATGCTCCGATGACACGTGGCGTTGATCCCGCTGAGAAGCCACAGACAATGCCAACGATGAATGCCACAAATGACTGCCACCTCACGTGGTGGACAATTGCTGGCAAAAACAATGCCGGTCGCTTGGACGACTCTGCCGATACGGCTGACGCTGTTTTGAAAAGGCAAAATTAGCACTCCGGCGATCGATTATTCACACAAGCTTACCAATATACGTTAGAGCACTAAATTTACTTAATATGGGTATGATTCGCTTTAACAAATACTGTCGGATCGACACGATGCTTGCGGATTTAGGATCGACAAAAATTAATCCGAACTCGGGGACGCCTTGTGAGAAAGAGAACGGAAGTGAGGGGATCCAATGTGACCGTGGCTTGCAAAAATCCTGTTCGCGAATTTTTGTGGTCTTTTTTAGGTCCTATCGCATATTAGCGATTTGGCAGGATCGTAACTTTAACAGCCCGGTTGTTTGAAAAATGTGGGCGATAAAACTTATCGAGTTGCCACACTGGCTCGATTCCCACAACCACAGCTTTGATTTTTAGTCCCTGTGATTAACAATAAAAGCTGAAAAAGGAATCAAGAGCAATCACCAGATATCCTTGGCATGAAATCTACCCAGTTCCTTTCCGTTCATGTCCTCTAAGAGGTAAATTGACTGTCCAATTCTTGCCTTCACTCGGGCCTTGATACCTACAGGAGCGAGTTTCGCATTAAAATCCTTTGCTGCGTTGCTAAGTACAAAATTCCTTTTGACTACTTCTTGGCCAACCTCAAAAGAACGGGGTCTTGTTCGAAGATTGTAAGACTTTTGGTTTGCCTCATAAGCCTTATTCAAATGTTTGCCGATGTTAGAACGAATCCTTTGGAATTCGTCAGTTTTTGTCAGGCTTACTTCGCCTTCTGCAAGAAGGTTTAGTTTACGCAGCAGTTTGTAGTCATGACCGTGGGATATCATGTGTTGACCAAAAACAACATGATAAGGCGATAAACCGATGGATTGGTGAATCGAGTTACGAAGAGAGCAGTTGATGCTACTGAGAAATGTGTCCCATTCGCGTTGGTCGGTGCGAATATATGCTCTTAAAGCAGCATTGATTGAACGGTTGACTCTCTCAGCACTGTTGGATTGTGGAGCATAGGCACCAGTAAACATATGACGAACGCCATATTTCGAAAGGAAGTCAGAGAAATCACGGCTTTTAAATTGAGTTCCGTTATCACTGACGACTGTTTCGGGTACACCAAAGCATGAAAATATTTCATCGCGCAATATATTGATGACCACTTTAGCCGTAAACTTTTTCACTGCTTTTAGAAAGGTGAATTTGGAAAAGTGATCAAGAATAATCAATATTCCAATATTGCCGGAATTGGAGCGCGGAAATGGCCCTATAAAATCGAGATAAAGTCTTTGGAATATCCTTTCACTTTGCACTTGTGCTCCCATTGGTGGTTTTAAAGAATGGGTAGGATATTTTGTGGTCTGGCATGTTTCGCAATTTCGAATGTAATCACGAACGTTGATAACCATGTTTGGCCAATAGAAACGTCGTCTGATACGCTCTAGGCATTTGGCCATTCCACAATGAGCAGATGTTGGTTGGTCGTGAGCCGAACTAATTACACTTTGACGCAACGACTCAGGAACGAAAAGTTTCCAGCAATCGTCTGGTGAAACGTCATAAGAATTGGGGAACGTTGCACGATGATAGATGAACTCATCTATGACTTTGAAATCCGGTGATTTCAGAGATTTGAATTTGTCTCTGAGAGCGGAGTACTCTTCCGATTGAAAAGCGCTTGATGATAGGTCAATTTCGGGATAAATTTCAAGGTCTATTGCAGAGATGTCAATCTCTTCGAACGATCGAGACAAAGCATCTGCCACCACATTTTCGGTTCCTTTGCGATGTTCGATTTGGAAAGAAAAACCCTGTAGCTTGATAGCCCATCTTGCCAATCTACCGCTTAGATCCGATTGGTTCATTAGCCATCGAAGACTTGAGTGATCGGTTACTACCTTAAAGCTATGACCGTCAATGTACATTCTGAACTTTTTAATTGCTAACACTACAGCCATGCATTCGAGTTCCGTAACTGTATAGTTACGCTGGGCTTTGTTTAGCTTTTTGGACATGAACGCTATGGGACGCTCACAACCGGAATCGTCGCATTGAGCTAGAACTGCACCCACTCCATGTAGTGAAGCATCACACTGCAAAATGAATGGTTTGTCGTAATTGGGATGAACAAGGCAAGGAGCAGAGCATAACTTGGCCTTGATGTTTTCGAAAGCTTCTTGGGCATTATCGTTCCAACTTAGTGTTTTGCCACGTAGTTGTTCCGTCAGATGGAAAATGACTGTGGAATAGTTGGATATGAACCGCTGGTACCAACCAGTCATACCAAGAAATCTTCGGAGCTGTTTTTGGGTCTTCGGAACCGGAAATTCGCTCACGGCTGCGATTTTGTTTGGATTTATTTGAAGAGTACCTTCACCCACCAGGTAACCAAGGTAGTCTACAGTTTTCAGGCAGAATTGACTTTTCTGAACGTTTATTGTTAATCCAGCCTTACGCAATTGGGTAGCTACTTCGGATAAATGCAGAAGATGTTCTTCGAAGTTGTTTGACAAAACAAGCAGGTCATCGAGGTAGACTAACACATGCGATTTTAATTGATAGGGAATAACCAAGTCCATTAATCGGCACATGGTTTGTGGAGCGTTTGACAATCCAAAAGGCATCCTCTTGAATTGATATAGCGGACGATTCGGAACGGTAAAAGCAGTTTTGGCACGAGATTCTTGATCTAAACAGATCTGCCAAAAGGCATCTTTGAGGTCAATTTTGGATATGCAGTGTACGGGTGGAAGTCGACTCAGCAATCCATCCATTATAGGGATGGGGTATGCGTCCTTCACCGTGACTGCATTCAATTTCCTTGCATCGAGACAAAATCGTACCTTGCCAGGCTTGATGTGCAAGATAACTGGAGAAGACCAAGGCGATGAAGGAGCCTCTTCGATGACATCCATTTTAATCATGCGGTCGATTTCTTCACATAAAAGTTTTTCTTTAGCTGGTGAAAGTGGATAGAATCGTTGCTTTATTGCCTTTGCATTGGATGTGTCGATATTGTGCTCTAACAACCTAGTTAATCCTAAGCCCTCGTTCTCGAATGATGGAAAAAAGTCTATTACTTTCTGCAATTTTGATTTTTGTAAATCGGACAATCTCACATTATTCGAGTGTTCTTCCGGTTCACAGTTAATTTCGTTGATCGCAACTGTTTGCTTGATCGAAATGCCAAAATTTTGCCAAAAATCCATTCCGCATATAACTTCATGCTTTATCGAAGGTACTATCAGGAATTCAAAGTTGTCACTAATTGAGTTATAAGTCAGGGGAATGTGTATCGTGCCTGCAACATATTGCGATTGCCCATCAGCGGTTCTCACTACCGATTTAAATTTATTAAACGGCTTAGCTGAAATTATTTGTTTTGCTAGCTCACCACCTATAACGCTTTTGTTGGCGCCACTGTCCAAGAGAGCTAAATACGGTTGACCAAATATTTCTATGTTTGTAAAAGGCCGAATATCGCTTTTGTTTTGTGCGATTGAGGAAATCATAAAACGATTTAATGATCGCTTACGAGTCCAAAATTTACGAATTCGCCGTGAAGATCGCTGTTTGCGACGATAAACA